AAAAAAAATACGGAATTAAAACAGTTTCTGCACCCTTAGTGGGTTTTTTTTTCAGCAACCAATGTAAAGGTATGATCTTTGTAAAACTGCAACACTGAAGGTATCCTCATTTAAGATGAACTTTGCATCTCTACTGTGAAGTAAAGGAGACAGTTCTCACAGAAGCAAAGTCAGAAGGGGGAAAACAAAGGGAAATCAGAAATCAGGAAACCAGGAAAAAGGTGAGTGTGAGTTGATATCAAGGTTACTGGTGAGATGCTCATGGCAGGCTGTCTATCCTCATTCTTGTTTCAGAGATGTAAAGGACTGCTCAGGCTGAAGAAGTCTCTGTTGCTAGGGAAAGCCTGACCCAGCTGGAGTAGACTTGTGTTGAAAAGTCTTTAGTATTGTGAAAGGGATGTGCTGGATTGACTTGGTGACTCAGAGCTGCCTTGGTGCTGCTTTGTCTGAGACCTTTCGGTGTTGAGAGAGCCAGACAGTGGTGGTTGCTCCATCTTTAACTTCTGGCTAGTTGAGAGGATATTGAGACTGTGCAGTGTAGTACAGCCTTCTAATGTCATCCAAAAAAGTAAAGGGTCAAAGACAAGGCTTAAAATGTTGAGGAGTGTGGGTTTTTTTAAAGAAAAACTATATAGTTGTGTTTCTTTAGAACTTCTAAGTGAAGCAACCTGGAGGAATGCAAAACTTGTAACCACACCATGATGAAATTGCTTCTTGTAGGAAATGAATCCTTCTCTTACTAAAGCCAGTGAATGTGTGAACTGTCAATGCTGCTCATGAACACCTTGGTATTGATAGTGAATTAGTTAGTGAATTATCTATTAGTGAAATAGATAAATTTGTGTCCAGCTGGGATGTGATGTAGCAAGAAGTTGTAGTGTAGGGTGAATGTTGAACAGAAAGCCTTCTGCTGCTTTGTCTGTGCTAGCATGAGATTTTGCAGAATGAAGGGAAGGGTTCCTTCCAAAGACTGAGGGGCATCAGCCAAGTCCTTTCAGGAGTCACCAGTGACCTGAAGTAACTGGCAGATATAGGAAAAGAGCGAGGAGCTGCTGTGTGGAGTAAATGACTGTTTGTAAATAGAGGATGATGAGATAGCAGGTGTTTCTCAAGGTGACAAGGCAGTTCTGCATGTCAGAATGGTTTTAATGATCCAAGTAAGCTTTGGCAAATCATAGTTAAGGTTGAGTGGAATCTGCTGGATCACTGCACTCTGTGACACAGCTTGTTTGGAGCCTGCCCAGCCTGTCCTCAGCAGCGGTGTTGTGTGTGTGTGTCTCTGTGTGTGTGTCTCTGTGTGTGTCTCTGTGTGTGTGTGTGTGTATGTGTTCACAGCCCCAGCTCTGCTCCCAGCCAAGGCACCACTTACACGGAGACTTGCCAGGAGGCTCTGCCAGGTCAAGGAGCATTAATTACTCTCGTCGTATGAACCTGTTACGTGCAATCACTTTTCCTGGTAGTTCATTGACCCCATCTCAGTTACATGAGCAGGCTTGGATCTGTTCTCTGACTAGGAATGGGCTGCAGGTCGTCTGGATGACTGGGGTGTGGAGTGGGTATTTCTATTGCCTTTGGAAGTTTATATGCCCTGCAGTTTGCCCATGGGATGCTCCCAATAAAAAAGAGCACAAGTGGGCATCTTGCTGGATACCAGCTAGAGCTCAGGGCTTCTGGACTAAAGAGCTGTTTCCAGGGTGAAATTTATGCTTGTCTAGGTCAAGAATGCTTTGCTTCTCTTCAGTATTTTACCGTACTGGGGAGTTATCTTTTAAACAAATAAATACATTTGTCTTTTAAGAAAAATTTCTGACTCTGAATTATGTACTTGGTTTAGGCCAAGTCTGATAAATGTTAGACAGTTTAAGGAAAGGCTTGGAAATCTGTAGGCAGCTGAATGAAAACAGCATGAATCTGACTATTGGTAATTATCCTGGGTGTTTATGATCTCCCCAGAACTAGTGGGGCAGGGTAATAAACAGCTGTTGCATTTTTATGTTCTGTTAGTGAGCAAAATAAATACATAATGGTTAATTTCCAATTCTGAATTGAACGTGAAACAAAGGCAAGTAATCCTAGTCATATTAAAAAAGTTCTCAAAACTGGAGTATCCAAAACTGTTAAATGGAGTATAAATGTTCTAAAGAGAATTTTCTGTGCACTTCATTGTGTCTGACAGACCAGTTTATATTGTAAGTCCATATAGGCTTTCTCTCAAATGGCATCCAAAGAAAACACAGCACAGCCAGATGGAAATTGGAGTTGACTTTGAGCTCTGATTAATTTGTTTTTCATATAATCCTTTTCAGGGCAGCGAGAAAAACGTGAGAAAAAGATGATGTATTGTGGTATAATTAACTCTGGTGAACAATGTGAACTTTAAAAGAAATTTCTTTTAAAAAGTATCTGCTTTAATGGGAACTGATTTTTCCAAGTGTCAGGATGGCCCACAATGCTTGTCCTATTTCACATTTGTGTCTCTGCAGTTCTCATTATATGTGTAAAGTTCTGCAAAACATAACTCACTAGATGAACTAATAAGTTCTTAAATCAAAAATGTCAGCAACCACTCATCTATGATCAGTTTCTAATGTGGGACCCCACTGGACTTTATCCTTTTCCATACTAAGGGAATGAGGTTTCATAACTGAGGCGAGCGCATACTTTTGCCATAAAGCTCTAGAAATTTCATTGATTTATAAAAGCATTAAGTATCTAAAATTAAGTAACTTTTGAGCTGAAACAAACATAAAGCTAAAAGCAGTATGACTTTGAAAGCCCAGCCTCAAACAGAGACATGAACAGATATATAATGCTTTAGTTAATGGTTGCTGCCATTTCTCTTACAAATTGTTCTTTAGGGTATTGTAACTCAGCTGTTTTTAAACCCATCACTCTGGAACCTTGCCTGCAAAATGTCAGCGCAAGTGCAAATTTTATTTCTTTAACAAAATAAAGGGCTTGGAGCAGTTAGGCTTTCTAAACTTTTATGGCAGGAAAATAAATTCCACTACTTTTGCTTTGCCACAGCAAGAGCCATACTGTTCACCTTGGCCTGCCAGTAGGCAGAGATGGAAACCAAAATAGTTTAAGGGCGGGCACTGTGTGTTTTAACTTGCCTTTTCAAAACGAGAGAAGCCCACTGTCAGCCTCTGGGCAGAGGGCACAGTCCCCAGGGTGAATGGAGGGTTCGTGGCTTTAGAAGATGATTTCTGAAGTTGAAATCAAGATGTGGGTACCAGCTTTAAAGGAATTTAATAAGGCTTGAGGTTGTTTTTCCTATAGGTTCAGGGGAGAGCCCCTCACTTCTTCTGCACTAACCAGTGCATCTCTTAGCAGATTGACTACCTTGGACTTCTTTAACATTGTCTCTCTTACATCTGGCTTCTAAAGCTGGGTACTGCCAACTCATTCACCCTTTTTAGTGTTTTCCTGAAGTTCAAGCCTTGACACGTATTCCTGCAGTAGAGTCCAGTTTTTCTGAAATCAGTATGTACGAAAATGGGGATTTGCTGTCTCAGTGCTCATAAAGACCAAGTGTTCCTGGTGGCACATTAGTCTTGGTGTTTATTATTGTTTTTGAAGGTATAAGGAATAAACTTTCTTGCACATAGTTACTTCAGTGCAGCAAGTCACATTTAATAGCCTTTGCTTTCAGCTTGAATCTTTACAGAAGGAAGATTAGGTAATAGTTTGTGTAGAAACATCTGTTTCCTAACAAAGATCTTGCCCTATATTATTTTTTTATGCTGTCCCTCTAACCAGAAAGTCCTTTAGTCTTTTAAAGACTTAGAAGTCTTTAAGTCCTTGTTGGGTATTAGAGTTGCTGTGGTTTTAGCATGCTCATGCTCTGGATCCTTTGTTAGCTTAAGTTATTAGCCTTAGATAAGTGTTGTGGGATGGAAGGACTGGTTTCTATTGTCAGCACAATTTCTGAATCTCTGGACAATTTGTCTGGGTTAGAATTTAAGTTTTTTTGGCTCCAGTGCTTGTTTAGACCTTTCCCTTGTCTGAGGAAAAGATGTTCTTAAAATAATTAAGCCTAGCATGCATTAAAAGAGAATCTTTCCACAAAATTGAATTGCTTGGGGTTTATTTGAGTTTTGGGTTGCTTAAATAAATAGGCATTTTGCTTTGTTTGCTTACAAGCAACTTAGTATCTCTAATGGGGAATCTTTTTTCCATGTTTTCCAAAGAAGACCAGCTCTGAGAGTTTTGAACAACAGCTCTCTACACTCTGTAGTTCTTTGTTTTACATCCAAGTGGATTGTATGTGTCTAAATATTACATTATTAACACACATGTCTTCCAGCCCCTTTAACATCGTCATTGTGATATGTCTCTAATATGGAAAGACTTAATACATAGATTTATTAGGGAATAATCTTTTTGGTCATTGTTTTCTTGAGAGTTCACGGAGTTCAATCTGCTGTTTTCAAGGAAAGATTCTTCACTGTGATGCTGCATGTTCTTGTAAATAAATTTATCCTGTGTTTCTTAGAACTCAAGAGACTTCTTTATATCTTGGTGCCAAAATTAGTGAAACTTGGTTTACTGGAACATGCAAACAGGGATTCAGTGCAATAAGTCCAAGCACTTTGTTTTCTTCCCAGTCACAGAGCAGGAAGTGCTGACTAGCTTTCCATGGATTTAGTGTTGTTGCTGACCTACTGCAAGGCCAGTATTCCAAGAATTAGGGCTTGTTTGGCGTGTGACCCTGGAAAGAAAGAGTGATTTGAGGCCTAAGTTGTAATTTTCTGGGAAATGCCCTCTTTGTGTGCATGTGTCTTAAGCAGGGCGGGGAGTGAATTAGTAACATAATGACCAGCGGATCGCTTTCTGTTTTACCTGAGTGGCTTGAAGTGATGTGGCTCAAGCCCTGCTCTGGGCACACATTCATGAGCTAAATTGAAGCAGGGTGTGCAGATGCATTTGGTTTATCTTTGTATTCCTCAGCTCTTTTCATCAGCAGTAATAAACCAACGTTCTCTGTTGGTCGCAGAATGCAGGGAGAGCCGCCATCCCTGTGCTGCTCCTGGTAACGTTTAGTGTGACAGGTTAAATGAAATGAAGATTCCATGGAGGTGTAAATCAAGCACTCATTTTCTATTTTAACACTGCAACCTAGGTAAAAATTTTATGGCCATCAGAATATCCTTGTTGTGTTCCAGTTTCAAAAGGCTTAGGAATGCCTTATTTATTAACTTTTCTTCCTCCTGCTCCATTTCAGTTTGCGGGCCAAATGTCGACATTCGCAATGATATCCATGAGCTGAAGCGCCTGGAGAACTGCACGGTGATCGAGGGTTTCCTACAGATCCTGCTCATCTCCAAAGCTGAGGATTACCGCAACTTCCGCTTCCCAAAGCTCACTGTCATCACTGACTATCTGCTGCTGTTCCGTGTGGCAGGCTTGGAAAGCCTCAGTGATCTCTTCCCCAACCTCACAGTCATTCGTGGCAGGAACCTCTTCTACAACTATGCCTTGGTTATCTTTGAAATGACAAATCTGAAAGAGATTGGGCTTCACAACTTGAGGAACATCACCCGCGGGGCCATCCGGATCGAGAAGAACTCTGATTTGTGTTACCTCTCCACGGTGGACTGGTCTCTCATCCTAGATGCAGTGTCCAATAACTACATCGTTGGGAATAAACCTCCAAAGGAATGCGGGGACTTGTGTCCGGGAACAATGGAAGAAAAGCCATTGTGTGAGAAGACATCTATTAACAATGAGTACAACTACCGCTGCTGGACCACCAACCACTGCCAGAAAAGTAAGATATGAGTAGATATCCTGTTTTTGTTACCCCTTTGGGAAGTAAACATTTAATTTTGTGGTTTTATTTTAAGCTCTTCAGCAGCTGAAACTTTTATTCTAGTTGCGTATAGTTTACATGAGTTATCCAGTTGCCACATAAATAGATTCTTCCCCAGTCAATAAAGATTTGTCTCACTTAAATAAAAAAAAAAGAAAAAAACAACAAATCAGCAACTGTAAAACAAACCCAAACAAACTCCCATAGTTACTTCCTCATGGACGAGGTGGAAAGTGTAAGTATGGAACCAGTGCCATTGTAGCAAAGCTGGAGGCAGCTTTACCTCCCTTGATGACTTTGGCAGGAGGTGGCCATCGAGTGCCATCTCCTCCTGCTGAAGTGACATTCCATGTGTGCCAGAGCTGTTGCCGTGCTGAAGCTGCTCACTGGACTTTGTTTTTTGCTTCTCTTGGCATGTAACTCCAGACATTCCTGTAATGGTAAATCCTGTACGTAAGGACTTGTTTACTGACATAAATTTTCACAGTACTTTCTGTAGAGTCAAAGAGTCCATGAATATCTTGATTCCCAGTGAAGTTACCCTTGCCTGTTTTATTCTTATCTGGCAGGTTTATGTCTTTCTGATAGCAAGTATTAGCAAAAACAAAATCTGATCTCTTCTCACTTTTTAAAAATAGAGTAAACAAACACATAGTTTACTCAGGTAACATGATTACATGGCAGGCTTTTTGAGTTCATCCTGTAACTTTACGAAAGCTGAGCCCTGCAGTATCAGTAGGGCTTAATTACAGTCCTCACTGGGAGGAACAGTTCCTAAATTCCACATGCAGTCTTGACCAAAGCTGCCATAATGATAGGAAACACCACAGTGTCAGAAGTCAGGACTATATTCAGGTTACCTTCATCTGGGATGTTATGTTTTTCTAAAGTGGCTTGTCAGTTTCTTGTGGAGTCCTCCTGTTCAATTAGAACTGCAATTAAAGTAGCTCGTGGGGCAGTTTCAGTCAACACATGCCAAAAATACCTCTGCAAAAAGGCATTTGGAGTATGTGCTTTTATCAATACTTACAGGAAATAAAGTTCGTTTTTTAAACAAAGCAAAGAAACCCCCTCAGCCTGCTACTGGGAGACTTTGTGCTTTGCCCAGGGTGAGGGGAGTTTAGCTATGAGTCCTGCAGGCCAAATTTATGTCTTCATTAACAGAGTGTAACCCTGTTGTCTACAAAGGGTGACTGAGGTGACTCCTGTGCAACCTCATTGCCCTCAGTGGTTTGAATGGATGTAACGAGAGTGTATTTAATGAGCTATAACAACTTACTTGCTTTCTGTTGGGTGCTTTGCCTGTTTGGAGTAGAAGAAAGTAACGTGCAAAAAAAACTTTTTTGGCATCTAAGGGACTGTTGAAATAATTTGGATCCCAAATACGTGAGAAGAAATTTGTGTAAATAAAATGAGGTCATAGTTAGACTGTGATAGCAGGACTTTGAAGGCAAGGGTAGGTAATGGAGTTTTTTTCCATATATGCTTTCATCTCCTTTCATGGGAGATTGTGAAGAAGAAAGCAAGTGTTGGAAAAGAGCCTTGAAAGGCTTGTTAAGAGCATTACAGTGTGGAAAAACAATTTGGTTTAGATTATCTTAGGATGTACAGCGTATAAAGAAATTATCAAGTTCTAATCAATAAAAAGAGTGAGAAATCTGGACCCATTCTAATCTGTTTGTTGTGATAAGCCACAGACTTTGAGGAAGATGACTTTAAATTTGCAGGCCAGTCATCTAAAAAGAAAACAACCCCAAAGCACTCCTGCTCTGAAGAAAAACAAGGGAGGTATAAAAGTGCAGTTGTTCCAAAGGAAGCTTTTTGTCTCCCCTGCTAGATTGCTCGGGCACTTTGGCAATGAACTCCTGATCAGGAGAGGACTCTTGCAGTACAGAATCACACAAGACATGAAAAAGAATAGAAGGAAGAACATTTCAGTTACTGAGTGTTTCAGTCAGCATTTTCCTACTGGTGGAGATATGACACCTATGTTATTTTCCAGGGAATATTTTTCTAGTGCAGTATCTAATTTAACCCTGACATTCTCCTTGTGCGTCACAGTAATGTTAAGCTGAAAGTGCTCTCTATCTTTCAGGGTTCCATTGTGCCTTTTTATTTTTCTTTGCTCTGGCTCTGTGGAGGAGTGTGTATTAAATCTCTCTTGTGTTTAGATTTTACGCTGAAAGATCTGAAGTTGGTGGGTAAATGCTGTGTGGGAACACTTGGTACTTTAAGTAGCCTGGCTTCTGTTTAGTTTTGCCATTGAGTGGAAGTTGTTTTTTTCCTTCTTTTTCTTGCTCACAAACAAAGGAAGAAGCTTGTGCTTCCTTCAATATAACTTGTACGGGAACAATGCTGAGGGAGGAGGGAGGGAAGGATATGCTGTGTCTGACAGAATAATCCATGGACATTTCTATAGAAGAGCAAGCTACAAAGAAACTGTAACTTTTATATTTTCCTGGGTATTTTTAAGGTTCAGCGTAAAGCGTCAGCAGCTCTCCTGCCAGTTTGGTTGCCCTGGTTTCTGTGTAGTGTACATTCCTTTACCTTCGAGTGCCCCAAGGCAGCAGCAATACTAGTTTGCTCTCTTTGGAGCTGCAGCATGTTGTGTTGGGCTTGGCACGCTCTCTTCTCTCCGACTTGCACCTACTTTTATGTTGGTGTATTAAATGCCAGCTGTGCCTCACTGGGGTTGCAGGTCCACATAGAAGAATCCCTCAAGATAAAAGGAGAGTACTGAAGTTGTTTGTTTGCATCGGTGCTTTGGGGCACAGGTAGAGATGGAAAAGATAAAAACTGAGCGTCCAGACATACAAATGAGACTATGGCCTTTTATGTTTTTCTTTTTTTCTGGCAGTTGTGACTGCTGGAAAGGTTTATGGAAGCTGCTTGCATCTCACTCAGTAACTGATGTGAGAACCAGAAAAACTGTTCCTGCTGTGCCCCTTGCAAGACTTGTGTCTGATGACATGCTACCTCTGCCTGTCCAGCGGTCTGCTGTAAAGAAAACTTTGGTTGTTTTCTGTATCCCTCTTGCTAATGATTAAATGTTGAGATCTGCTGCCTTAGTCACTAGGCCTTTCCAAGCCTGCAGAAACCAAATGTAAATTACACCCTTGAAAGGCTGCCTGGAAGTTCAGGATCCCTTGTCTACCATAACCTTTGTGCTCTTTTTCAAGCAAGTCCAGCTAATGCTTCCTAAGACACTTTTGCTATTGCTAGGGCCACAAGAAATGAACTGGGCAAACTATTTGGGACAGTAATAGCCAAACTAGCAGTGATCTGTGTATAAGACCTGTGGAGCCCTGTTGTGTTTTTTCCCCCTATCCTAATTATTTGTCTTCTTACCCCCAGTTAAGCTGGAGATGCTTAGTGCCAAATACTTGCTGGAACTTTTTCCTACCTAGAGAAAAGACAAGGGGTCTGGTTATGGGGGAGATAGGCTATAACATCTGTGAGGAAAGGGGCGTTGGTTTCAGCTGCTGCTTCTGTGGGACAGGATGAGAGCACAGTCTGGGTCCCCCCTTTGTGAGAGAGCAGATTAGAGTTCCCATATTTCCCAAAGCGGGTGGAGTACCCACGCTTTCCATAAAAACAGTGACGGGGAGTATCTGAAGTGTGTGAGGGAGCTTTCAGATTAGAGTTTAGGCATTAAAAAAAGGATGTGTAAGCTGGCATTGTAGAGAGGACACGGATTAGGGCTGTAAGCATTAAGCACTTGGTTCAAAAGAGGTGAATTTGACGTGAAACAATAGCTCATGTAGACCTTGCTGCACAATACAACAGGAGAGAACTTTGAGCTTCTCAATGTGTGAAACTGAGGACCATGGAAAAGGCATGTGAGGATTTGGAGGCCGATGAAGCAGATGGCAGCTAAGCACAAAATGTTTTTAATGAAAATGTATCCTTATTCATTTTTGAATTGGTTTGACAATGGCCCGAGAAGATACGGTGTATGAGGAGCAGGAGGGAGAGAATGACAGTGAGTGGGAAGAGTGGTCCATATGTGCCTTCTACTAAAATGTTTAAACATATGGAGACAGTAACATGATGTATTCTCACAAATATTCGGAATCTGCTCCTGTTTGTTTACACGGAGCTCAGAAGATAATGCAGTTGAGTGGTGTCGTTTGACATGGCTCCATTGACTTGTGCAGTGCTTACAGTGTGCACCAGCTGGGAATCTGCTCCCTGTTGATTCAGCAGAGTAGTGCTGAAAACCATGTGCTGCACTTCCTCCCCCCACCCCCTTTCTCTTCTTCTCTTTCCCTCTCTGAGGAGTGTTCACTATATTCCCCTGTCCTTTAGAAATGGTGAACATACGTGAACTGTGTAGGCAGCAAGAGAGGGGAAGAAGTTGGGAGCCAGAGATGATGAATCAAATTATTCTTATTTTGCTTAAAAATTGTATTTGCATGCTTCTTTTTTTTTTTTTTTTTTTCTTAAACACTGAAATACAGTAGATATTATATATGTTAGCAGAGAACAACATGCTTTAGGTTTTACTTTTTTAGCAAGCAAATTAGCTGGTCTCTGTAACACTAATCCTACCTCTGCTGGTTTATAAAAAATTACGTATCGTATAAACCTGACCGTATTTTGAAATGGACAGGTTGTTTGTTGGTTGTATCTGGTTGGTATGCAAACTCTCCAGCAAATAAACATCTTCTGAAAGGAGTAAACAGACAAAAAGATGATAATTGTAAAAGGCACAGTTGGTGTCACTGAGTTAGAAAAATCTGGAGTACGTTAAAAAAAAAATTGTTAGTGTTTTCCTTCTGAATGAAGTTTTTTGCTGACTTTCGCTCCCCTCCTGAGAAGTTTGCTCTCCAGCCAGAGGTTTCCCAGAATTTTTATTATGGCTGTGAGAGCATATTTAATTAGTAAGCTGGAATGGCCGCAGAGCAGTTTTGGCCAATCTGCAGTTAATTACTGTAGCAGTGGTTTATATTCTGAGA